AGAGTCTAGGAGGAGTCTGTTTTTTTAATGAAAAGAGTGTAATCTGATTGGGCTTGGGCATAGCCGAATTTTCCAAGAGCTAGTCTAGATCTATCAAACCATGCTCTTGGTGATTATTTCAGTCCATATAAGGCTTTATTCAACCAGCAAACCTTCTTCCCTACTTCTATATTGTAGAATCTAGGAGGTAACTCCATGTATACCTCCTCTTGCAGATCACCATTGAGGAAGGCATTTTTAACATCCATTTGGAACAATGGCCATGAGAAATTTGCTGTAATGGACAACAAAACTTTGATAGTGTTCATCTTGGCTACCGGTGCAAAAATCTCCAAGTAGTCTATGCCATAAGTCTGTGTAAACCCCTTTGCAACTACTCTGGCCTTATACCTCTCAACAGAGCCATCAACATTATGTTTCACTGTAAACACCCATCTAAATCCAACCAATTTCTTCCCTTTTGGCTGATTAACTAATTCCCATGTTTTGTTTTTGAGAAGAGCATCCATTTCTACTTTCATGGCGTCCTTCCACTCTGGTATTGACAAGGCTTCTTGCACTGTCATTGGAATGGGAATAGCAGAGATAGATGCTAAAAAGGACTTATAGGATGGAGACAAGGTTCAAAGTATTGATATGATACGAGTTTCGACTGTATCTCGTATTGGCACTTAGAAACGACCGAAGCTCTATTTTTTTTTAGTTTTTTTTTTCAAATTTTGGTTTTTTGGGAAGCTTTTAGCATGCTTTTTATTATTAAAAAAATTGGAGGAATTTCAGACCGTATCATTTTCAAAATATACGATACGATACATCCGATACGAGGCATATCGTATCGATACTTTGAACCATGGATGGAGACAAATGGTCATAAGTCAAAAACTGGGAAATACAATGTGCTGTAGATGAAATACAGTGGCGTTTCCCTTTGTGGACAATAATTGGAAGATTAGGATCATCCAAAGGAGGTGAAGGCTCAGTAATGGGAGGCATCTCATTAGGCTCAGTGATGGGAGGTATCTCTTATGTAGTAGGATGTGAGGGAGCTGTGGTACCTGGATCTGGAGCTGTAGAGGAAACTATAGTTGGCCTAGATTGTTGAGGACCGAAATCAACTTGTCTCCACCACCTATGAAACACCCTCAACTCCTTACACTTGTGGCAACCCTCCTCATTACACTCCCCTTTAGTGATTGGGACAGATAAAGGAATTTCTGATGTGGGTGTGGGTGAACCCATCTCTCTACTCTTCCCCTGAGAAGAAACTCTATGATAGTAGGGAACATCCTCAAAGAAGGTCACATCCATAGAAACAAACAATTTCCTAGAAGTAGGTTCATAGCAGCAATTATCCCTTTTGATTTTGTGCATACTCAAGAAATATGCATTTGGAAGCTTTAGGGTCAAACTTAGAACGATGAGGCCCAAGAATCTGAACAAAACAAGTACATTCAAAGGTTTTAAGGGGAACAGTGAACAAGTCCTTATCGGGATATAAGAGGCTGAATGGAATTTTCATGTCTAGGACTCGAGAAGGAACCCTGTTGATGAGGTACACGGTTGTATGGGTAGCATCCCCCTAGAAACATATAGGAACATTGGAGTTTAGCATAATGCTTCTACCTACCTCCAATATATGCCTATTCTTCCTCTTAGCAACTCTATTTTGTTGAGGTGTACGGGGACAAGTGCTCTGATGAATGACTCCATGGTCAAGGAAATATGAGGCAAAGGGTTTTGCAAAATACTCTTTGGCATTATTTGATCTGAAAACTTTGATTTTGACTCCGAACTGGGTTAGGACCATTTGATGGAAATTCCAAGTCAGAGTAGGGACCTCATCTCGAGAGTGCGTAAGATAAACCCATGAAAAACGAGTATAGTCATCAACAAACAACAAAAAGTATTGATACCCCCCATAGCAATTATATGATATGGTCCCCAAACATCAGTTTGTACAATTTCAAAAGGAATAGTACTTCTTTTATTGCTCAAAGAATAGGTTGTTCTACAATGCTTTGCAAGTTCACAACTTTTACATTTTAAACAAGACATCTGGACCGACTCAAATAAACTAGGAAACAAACTCCCTAAAGTCTTAAAAGACAGATGACCCAACCGATTATAACAAAGCATAATCTGACTCAGACTGAGAAACAAAAGACCTTCCAATTTCTTTATCTTCCCCATGTAGACACCCTCCAATCAGGTAGGTTCCATTTGTCTCACGGCCAATCCCAGTCACCTTCCTTATCTCCAAATCTTGGATAATACATCGATCAGGAAAAAAAGTACTGAACAATTTTGATTTTTAGTGATGCTACTAATTGACAATAGGTTAGTACTAAGTTTAGGAACATGCAAAACTAAGGACAAGGAGATGGCAACTGATAATCTAATGTTTCCCTTCCCAGAGATGGGAACAAGGGATCCATCAACAATGGATACTCTATCTTTGCCAGAGGATAAGCAACAAGTAGTGGACAAAGAAGATAAGCCTATCATGTGGTCAAATGCACCCGAATCTATGACCCAATAAGGTCCATTGTTACCTGGGCCTGAAACATGATATGTTGATGCCTGTGTACCTGAATGAGCAAATGCCGAAGTAGGAGTAGCAGATGTAATCAATGGCTAAGATGAGGGGGATGAAGTACCAATTTCACTTTCTAACTGAGTCAGAGTAGCTCAGACAACGGCTAAAGTGTCTAGGGATGTGGCTCTTGTGTTGGAAGAGGATGCATCATCAGTAGTAATAGCCACATTGGCATTCCCCTTTTTATTTCTGAGCTTTGTTGGCATTAAATGTGGATATAACTTCCAACAAGTGTCCTTGGTGTGCTTTGGCTTCTTACAATGGTCACAAACTAAATCCTTTTTATCCTCTTTCTTTATGTCCCTTTCCTTGTCACCCCAAATTTTGGTTTCACGGCAGCCAGGATTGATTCCATAAGCTGAAACTGCAACATAACCTTTCTCCTACTTTCCTCACTATGCACTAGAGAATAGCTTGAGATAAGGTCACACTCTCCCTTTGTGAGCAGTTGTCTCACAATATCATACTTTGAATTCAGTCCAGCTAGGAATTCAAAAACCTATTGGTCTTAACCTGTTTTCTATAGGTTTTTGCATCATTTTGACTTTCCCACTCAATAGTTTCTAGATGATCAATTTCATGCCATAAAGATTTCAAAGTGGAGAAATAAACTGAAACTGGCTTCTCTCCTTGTTTGAGATTATTTACTTCACATTTTAGTTCATAGGCCCTATCAACATTGAGTGGCTGAGAGTAGGTTTCCTTCATCACTTCCTAAATTTCCTTAGCTGTTTTTTCCCACAAATAATTGTGGCTAATATGAGGCTGCATAGAGTTACACAGCCAAGTCATGACCAAATAGTTCTCTTGAACCCATTTGGCATATGAAGGGCCTTTCTTGGCTGGTTTCTTTACATCTCCATTCACATAACCTAACTTCCCTCTGCCCCCAATCACCATCATGACTGACTGAGCCTATTCCAAGTAATTAGAACCATCAAATTTAATAGTAGTAATTTGAAAATTGTTTTCTCCCATGTTTCCAGCCCCCAAAATACCTTCCCCTTGAGTCTTAAACTCAGCTCCTGCCAAATTTCGAAAACTCCCCACTTTCTGGAGTATTTCTGGGTGGAAAATCTTTTCTTCAGAATGTATTCTGTGTGACAGGGTGGATGAATCTGTTGATCACCTGTTATTACATTGAAAATTCTCTTCTATCATYTGGGTGACAGGGTACAGCTTGTTTGCCTTCAAGGGTTGTTGCCCGGTGTTGGTGGAGAGTTTCTTGAAAGAGTGGCATCTACAAGGTCTGAACAAAAGAGGAAAGGCCGTTTGGAAAATGATTCCTGGAGTAGTGTGGTGGACATTATGGCAGGAAAGGAACTCTAGAATCTTTCAGAACAAAGGCAGCCAGGTGGAGGATGTATGGAAAAAAATTGTGGGAAAACTGTTTTCTTGGTCATCAGCTCAGTTTAACTTAAACAGTTCAGATTACAGTTCCCTTTTTGATTATGTAAATCTTTTTGTAATTGCTGATGGGATGGTGGCTTAGTTATTTTATATGTTCGTTACAGCCTCTAGTTGTACAGGGTATTTTATTTCTCTTAATGAAAATCTTACTTTGTCTCTTCTTAAATAAAAAAAAAATCTTGGTGGGTGTATGCATGCATGCATTTGCATTTATGACCTTAAAACTGATAGCATCCCTAATGACTAAATCGTTATTTTATGTAATTACATATTCATAGTTGGCAAGCTATATATGGAGCATGGYCAATGAAACCATGGGATTCTAGGTTAAGGAATTTTAATTTAAACCATGCAATTTTTCTGATCCATGTTTTACTGTTTTTTATTCTCTGAGGCCTAGTTGGATGCATGGATTCATAAGAAAATTTTCCTTTGAGTAGTCGATCAAGACTACAATCTGTCTTGAATTTAAAAGAAAAACAGATGCAAAAATTGAAGAGGAGAAGAAGAGAAGAAGCACACGAAGAGAATTTCAGAAAAGAGAGAGGGAAGGTCTTAACATCTGCCGATCCACTCTTAATATTTATATAAATGTTGATTAATTGTAAAAGGGCTGAATTGCCCTTATTGCTTACATGGCAAATAGAATAAAAGATAACTAATAATAAAGCTGAAATAACTACCAACTAACACTGTCATAACTAACTGAAATAATGCTGCCATACGGACACAATGGGGTTCACATCAGTCTTCTCTACACTTTGCTAATGACTCACTGGTGTTGTTTTAAATAATTTGGTACCTGGGATTTGTTGTGCTTTGCTTCTTCAGTATTTCTTTTGGTTGCCATGAATTTTTATTTTTTTTTCTTGGGAGGAGGGTTATCCTGTTTAACAATCACTGATTAAGAAGAATTATTCTTATCTATTTTTTCTTATTCTACCTCATTCTGCCTTTATGCTTGTGCACATTATTGGCTTAAAATCTGGGACAGGGCAGGGCTACAGTGTTGTGCTTCCGGAGAAATTACAAACAGGAAAGTGGAACGTATATAGGTAGGTTGGTGTTTTTTTTACCCCAACTGCCTCTAACTAGTTCGTCAAAATTGTTTAAGATACAATTCTTGGATGGCAGATCTGCACAATCTCCTTTGATGCTTGTGAATAGATTTCCAGATCATCCTCAAATTGGAACTCTGCATGACAACTTTGTGTAAGTATGCATCCCTTCTATTCTCCACTAGTCCTCTAGCTTTAAGTACCCAATCGTATCATTTATGTCATCTGAAAGACTTAAATGGCTTATCTGGAAGCTTATGACTTTCCTCTAATGTTATGAATTTAGGCATGCAGTTAAGACTTTTCAAGATCACAAGTATTTGGGTACACGAATTAGGGTGGATGGAACAGTTGGGGAGTAAGTTATTTACAATATTAAACTGCAAATTGCATATTCATTTTCATTCTTATTTACTTATATTAATCCTCTAAACTCAAAGGTATAAATGGATCACATATGGAGGAGCAGGTACTTACCGGTCAGCGATAGGTTCTGGTCTGATGTACCATGGAATACCAAAAGTGAGTTTTCATCTCCAGATAATCTTGTTTATCATTGCCATTTGTTTTTATTTTTTTTTTTGTTTCTTTGTGAATCTTAAAATTGTTTTGAATATCTGGTTGCGTATCTAAAGTTGTAGGTCCATAATCTTCACCGAAAATCCAATTTTTCTTTTTGTGCTTTAATTTTTTGGGTGCAGGGATCTTGTATTGGACTATATTTTATCAACAGACCTGAGTGGCTGATTGTTGATCATGCCTGCTCAGCATATTCTTACATCTCTGTTCCTTTGTATGACACTCTCGGTGGGTTCTTGTCGGTTCAATGAGCTATAAATGGATTCATTCCTAGTTTGCCTATGCCCGCAGGGTAGTTAAAATTTCTTTTTCTTTTTTCTTTTTTGTTTTCTTCCCGTGCAGGCCCAGATGCTGTCAAGTATGTTGTGAACCATGCTGGTGTACAAGCAATATTTTGTGTCCAACAGACACTAAACATTGTGAGTTTGTTCCTGGTTTCTTTCACAATTTAACACTCAACTAATCCCTATAAGTTAGTCAAGTACATCTTCTTTGGTCATCCCACTCCATGAATGCTTGTACATTTTTTTTTCAATACTGGTGAGCTAGAACGTTTTTTTTTTTTTTTTGATAAATGGTGAGCTAGCACGCTACATGCTAATATTTAATATTAATGGGCTATGAAAATCTGATCCTAACTTAAGTAATCATCTTCTTAAAATTTTTTGTGATCTATATGGTAGATTTTATTGCTCTTTTGGAGGATTCTATCTTGAAAATTATCCCAGAAATCATATGTTAATTTTATGACCCTTTTGTCTAGACAAATGAATTGATTTGTCAGTACTTACGAGTTTCATGGTCTAACAAGTGTTCTGTTATATAACAAATCATAAGTGGGCCTTAAAACATGAAAAACCTTGTAATAATCAATTTAAACCATTTAATGATTTGACCAGCAGGGGGATCCCTTGTCTCTCCTACTTTTATTTGTGTGATGGAAGTTTTGGGGAAATTGACTTTGAGAGCAGTATCAGGTGGTTTTTTGGAAGGTATTACAGTGGGTGAGAATAACTTGGAGATTCCCTTGTTACAGTTTGCTGATGATTTAGTATTCTTTAACTTTACAAAGACAAAGGAAGGGGATGCTGAAATGGAGGAGACTGGGAAGTTTATGGCTGCAGGGAAGTGGAAAAGGCCTTTACAGGTTGAAGCTAAAAGTTTGCTCTTTGAAAAATGTAGGAGTTGGTCTTTAAAGATCAGGGAAGAGAGGAAAGCTACAATCTTCCTAGTCAGAGAAGCCGCACAATGGTTGAAGGGTTTTGTTGATGGTGCAATGCTTTCTATTAGAACACAAGGGTGGAAAAGTTCTTTGAGTATACCGAATAGAAGGTATGAGATGGTGCTGCGGTGGAATAGGAAAGGGTGGTATGTGACAGTCACAGAGATCTTTGAAGATGATAAAAGGCAAATGGTTTGCCTGTCGGTAGGAATGGAAACAGGGCAGGGCGGGGCTGGGTTTTCCATGCCCCGTCCCCGACTGCGAACTCAAAAAGGGGTAAAGGGCTAGTAAGTCCCAACCCCATCCTTGTCCCCGTAGGGAACAGGGATCCCCGAATTTGCCCCGTCTTGCTCCGGTCCTATGTGCAAATTGATTTTTTTTTATTTTTTTTGAAGCCTACTTAGAACTATTTTATATATAATATAATATAATATAATATAACTAACATAATATAATATAATATAAAGATACACACTTTTAGTCAGGCTGGTTTAGGGCCTAGGTTGGGACGGGGTAGACAATGGTTCTTCCATGTTGGAGTTTTTCAGAAACCATCTTCCAGCCACTGCAGTCCTTCCCTTCCGGCAGTGTTGGTGAGGTAACATAGAAGAACTAGTGTCTGATAGAAATCTTTGGTAGGGTGTCTATAAGGAGGTGGTGGAGAGTTATTAGAGGCTCCACAAGAATAATCTGGAAAAGGGAGTGTGAGAATTTGAGAGAAAAAATGAATTGATTGTATTGTCTTGGAAGGAGCATATACACAGCTGTATATAGAATTAAAGAGCTAACTTACATGGTGATAAAATGGGAAACTAGCTTTTCCTAGAAAACTAATTTCTATATCAGTGGGATTCTCCAATTAATATCCCATGATTCTAGGATATTCCATGATTCTAGGAAACTAACTTATGTATGTTTCCTAAACTGATGGACCTAAAATTATGGAGAATCAATCAAAGAGTCAATCTTCTACTTTCCAACACTCCCCCTCAAGCTGGTGAATATGCATCTTTCATTCCCAGCTTGGAGATAAGTCCTTGGAATGCCACACTGCAAAGCCCTTTTGTCAGCACATCTGCCAATTGACCTTTCGTTGAGACGTATGGAGTGCAAATTAATCCGCTATCCAGCTTTTCCTTTATGAAATGCCTATCTATCTCAATGTGCTTTGTCCTGTCATGTTGGACGGGATTGTGGGCAATGTTAATAGCTGATTTGTTGTCGCAGAATAATCTCATTGGACCTTCCYATCTGATCTTTAGGTCTTCCAAAATTATCTTGAGCCATAGTAATTCACATACTCCCTGAGCCATTGCCCTAAATTCTGCCTCCGCACTTGATCTAGCTACCACATTCTGCTTCTTACTCCTCCATGGCACAAGATTTCTTCCAAGGAACGTACAGTAACCTGTAGTGGACCGCCTATCCA